TGTATACTGGTGGGCGACATGTATGTACAGTTATGATTGGATTCTACTTAATTACCCAAAAACATATGTACGCCTACACAAGCCTTTTCTAAGCCTACATGATCCCTTACAAACCTGCTTAAGTGAGTTTCGACTACCCTAAACCCTAAACTTCAAGCTTAAACCCTAACCTAAACCCTAAGCCCTGCACATTTGCATTTTCTTTTGGAACCAGGTCATGAACGTCCTTCGGGTAGCAGCAAGAAGAAGATTTTCCTAATATGGGTATTTCTATTCAAATACTACCTACTAAGGACCCCATAACCCTCTTGTGGCTCCTTGATAATGTAGACCCATAACTAATAGCCTCCCTCCTTTTAAGAGCCTTCACATTTAGGTTCCTTATGATAACCACTACTAAGGGAAGGGGTTTATTAAACAGGGGTCTGGGTTATCCTTGGGGTTGTTAGGAGGGTCCTGTTCTGAGAACCCCCACTTTATAACGTCATAGGACTAAAAGGATACGTTTTGGAGAATTGGGAATTTTTCTTAAGCGACAGTCAGTTTGGGGAGGGACTAGAGGTTGGGGGTTGGGGTTCAGGCCTAAACCCTAAAGGGTTGGGGTTAAGGACTCAGGGAATCTACAAAGCAGGATGCCTTAAGAAGTTACACTTTGTGTTAAGCTTCTTTTTTTCTTGTGTTCTGTTGTTCCAACTGTTGGCGAGCGCTCCATACCCCGAAGCCCTAAACCCTAAGCCTTTCAGCCCTAAACCTTAAGCCCTTAGCCCTTAACCGCGTCAGGAGGTTGAGGGTGTAGCCTGTTGTAAGCCAGAAGATATTCAAAGTTTCGTGCTATTTATGTGAAGCCCTGAGCTGAACCCTAGATCCTGAAATCTTATTGAGGGGGTTTAGGGTTTAGGATGGTTTAGAGGCTTAGGGTTTAGGGTTCATAAACGGGCCACTGTAACTTCTGTTACCAAGTGTGGTAGCTGATGCTGAAAGGGGCCCCTAACCCTAAACTCTAATGTGTTGTGACTTTCTTCCCACCACAGGTTCTGGCAGCCATCAAGACGGAGGGCGTTCTTGACTCCGAGCGTAAGAAGGCAGCTAGGAACTTATCCTACTTAAGGCTAGGGGGTTCCCTTGAAAGCGTGGGTTTAGGGTTTAGGGTTGAGAGTTTAGGGTTTAAGGGTTTAGGGTGTAGGGTTTAGGACGTTTAGGATTGTGGATAGGGGAAATCTTGCACCAGTAGGGAAACCTATGATTCTGTAGTTCCTAAGATATGTGGATTCAATATTTCCTTCAGGCACCGTAGGGCAGGGTCTTGAATGTGCTTTTTGCAATCATGCATACGATAATCCCAAGAAGCAGCCAACATACTGCGTTTTTGTCCGTGCCTCAGGGCATATGCAGCTAACCGTTGGTACGGACATCGATTCCCGTGCAGGGATTGAAGCAGTCTTGCAAGACAGGAAAATGTTGTTTAAAGTCTACTTACTGGTGGTTAGAACGGAAGGGAATGTAATCCATACAAAATCCTCATCTAATCTCTTCCCTCATTCCCTAGTAACCCCCAGTAAGTTTTGTAATTCATGGTGTCATGGGATTCTACAAGTCTTTACGGGTGCTGTAGGGGCTTGTATTGCAAAGACGGAGGTGTCGTCGGTTTGGACTTCAGAGTTTCAGAATGTTTGGCGCAGAGTTTGACCCTAATCACGAACCTCTAAACCCTAAACCCTAAACCTCTGAACCATGTGCCCCTCACCATCAAGAGACCTGACCTGGAAGAGTCCCGTGCATTTCGCCTTGGCTCTGCAAGACAGGTAGGGTTGAGGCTGCAGGGTGTGGGGTTTTGGGTTTAGGGTTTCTTGCGTATTTCTCCCAATTCGAAGTCCCTAACCCTCTAACCCTTAAACCATAACCTCTAAGGCAATCCCTAAACCCTAAACCCTTAAACCTTAAACCCTAAACCCAAAACCCCCTAAACCCCCTAAAACCCTAAATCCCCTAAAACCTTAAACCCTTACCCCTAAGCCTTACACCCTTAAAAACCTCAATGGCAGGACGTGGAGGAGGTGTTGGGATCCATCACCGACGAGTACTTCGCCGAACTCTTCAGGCAAAGCATAGGGGTTTAGGGGGTTTAGGGTCTTAGGGTTTAAGGGTTTTAGGGTTTAGGGTCTTAGGGGGTTTAGGGTCTTAGGGGGTTTAAGGGTTTAGGGGGGTT